GAAGGGAGGGGGATTGTCAGGGGATAAAAAGTCAGGAACATGCACCCAAGAAGGAATCAGTATGGGCAATATAACAACAAAGAGCCATGACCAGGCACAGAAGCCTATCCAGATGTGGTCAAGGGTAAATATGGGAAACAGGAGAAAAGGAGGAACCACCCTTTGGGAGAAAGGAACAATCTGTATAAAAGAGGAGACAGGTAGGGTGATAAAGGATATGTGAAACATCAATGGCAAACAAATCAGACTGTCAACATCCACAGGCTAAGAGAAGAAGGAAATATGTTTTAAGGGAAAGATGGAATATGGAACATGAGGAAAGTGGTTCAAACATAGGTAAAGTAAGGGAATGGAGAACCACATTAACATCCCAATCCGGAATGGTAGGTCACCTGGGAGGGCAACATATCGAGAAGGAACACATAAGCATGGTAAGGACAAGAAAAATGAAAGGTATGGGATAAGGCTGCCTGATATCCTGAAAGTGGGGAGACCACGGTAAAAGAGCCAGGTGAGAAATTCCGCCACAGTAGGTCAATTAGCAGGAAACCTCCCTAGTTGTAGACCAGTGATGGAATACCTTCCATTTGCATAGGTACACTTCCATGTAAGATGGATGGATGGAACGAGCTAACAAGGAAGCAACTCGACATGTGAAACCATGGACTGGACAAAAGCCAGTCATGAAGGGTGGGATGTAAAACATGTGACAAAGAAGGTAGGGAGAAAGTGGAGAGGAGGGGAGCAGTCACTGCAATCATGGAACCAAGGCTGAGCTGGTCAATAAAAAGCAATCAGATGATAAGAAGTGAAATGCATGAGTGAAAATCACCAGATGAAGTAATTGGATGGGTGAGTACACAAAAGATATTTGTGTGACCAATCCTGGCTGAAGGCATTGACTGTGAGCCTGAGGATGAGGTATAGGCAACCAAAAGTGAGGTAACGTTGTTGAGGCCTGTAGCATAGGCATCCACATGGGGAGAGTCCCACCAATGGTAAAGCTCCCTGAAAACTAGGGAATCTAATGGCCACTCTGTGGGATATATCCAGTCGAGACACGAAAGATGATCAGTGACGAGATTGAGAGTACTTAGCAGATGACACACAAAAAGATGAATGTGATATACGTGTGCCCAGTATAAGAGATCCAACATTCAAAAACAGAGATCTGTGGACTTGACAGATGATATATGCCACCACCATAGAATTGTCTGAATGAACCATTACCAGACAATGTTGGGCAAAAATAAGGAAATGATGCAATGCCTGAAGTATGGCTAGAAGTTCGAGAGCATTGATATACAAAGCACTTTCATCTGCAGACCAATGGCCCAAAGCCTCCTGGTGATTGACACATTCCCATATCCCTGAAGGGATGCATCCTTGAAAAGATGTATGGGCTTTGTCAAACCACCAAAGCAGATAGTCTCGCAGGAAAAAATAAAGGACATTGGGAGTTGAAAGATGATCCCTAGCAAGTTTCCATTAATCGTGAAGCCCCACTGAAGGGATTGCATATGGGAATGATTGAGCGGGGGGGGGGGGGCAGTGATGTCATTGATGATCACATCCCCCAAAGCGAAAGAACTTCGTGAGCAGTAAGTGACTGAGCCGAGAGGACATAGCAAACCAAGTCATAAAGGAGAAGGTTGGGCATGGCTGACATGAGTGTTGAAAAAAAGACCCCTCAAATAGACAAGATATTGAGTGGGTTTGAGGTAGGACTTTTCCAGTTTGATCAACCAGCCTAACCGAGTCACCACAGAAAGAAGCTACTGAGTATCACTGGCCAATTCCTGCTTGAAATTAGCCAGAAGAAGCCAGTCATTAATGTAATAATGAAATTGTAGCTCCAGAGCAAGAAGATGTCGAGCAAAATATTGGACTACTCGACAAAATGCGCAAGTCCAAAAGGGAGGGCACGAAATTGATAAACCACCCCGAGATGGACAAACCGAAAATAACAATGAGACTGAGGTGATATCGGTATATGTAGCTAAGCATTGGAGACATTCATTTTGGTCATCCACAACCCCAGAGAAAATGCCCATCTTACAGTCAGAAAATACTCCATGGTGACCTGGTGTAGTGAAATGAAGCAGTTGAGGCGAGATTACCGGCCACCAATGTTGGGGACAATGAAAAAGTGGGAACAAAAACCCCGTGAAGGATGGGGAACAGGTTCGATGGCCCCCTGCCAGAGCAATTCCCAAACCACTTCTGACAGATGCTGGCTGGTCACGGGATCTTAAGGAGGAGGGAAGGAAATAGGATAAGGAGAGACGGGGGGGATGGGGAAGGAAACTGGACAACGAATCCTTTTGACAGACCTGAAGCACCCATTGATCGCCAATGAAGGAACCCCAGTAACAGAGAAACTCAAACAGCCGAGCTCTCACTGGACCAAAATCCATTGTGTAGTCACCAGTACTGGTGGCGACAGGGGGGGGCATCATCGAAGAAAGTTACAAGAAGTACCCTAAATAGATGGTAAGGGCTGTGAAGGGGAAGGACGGGAAATGGTAATTGGAGGCATAAGAGGCTCTGATCAAGATAAACAGCCTACACTATTTGTGGAATGATGTCACCCGAGCCTGTATAAAAAACCTAATGCCTCAGAAATGGGGCCATATATAAATCCCTAAGATATGTCGAGGGTAAACGGACCTGTGCCAACATGCCATCACAACCTATAAGGTCCCAACAACAAATAAAATACGTATGTTACGCCAGAGCCAAAGATGACATGCAGTCTAAAATGGAGGAGAGAAGGGCAAAGGAAAAAACACTGGTCACTTGTGTAATCCCTGAAGTGGTAACATTAACTTCGGAATTAATTGCATAGAAAGGTTCATCAAATTCGATTGCAGAAAATAAGATGACTAGAATTAACTGATAAATACTAATAGAACAAACATACTGAATGAAAGCAAATTAATTTAAAAAACAACTATTTCGTGAGTAAACAAAGTCGAATGTGAAGCATTAACTCTCAACATGGACTTAGTCAAGTTGACTGACCAAGTGACCTCTTTGTAATTGATTAAAGTCTTTATAAATTTAATACTTCTAACTTTCAATAGAGTATGTATATCTTCCCAAAATTTGGCAGTCTTTCAGTTCATATTACTAGTCTTTCACATACAAAAAATAATACTTTTTAGTGAAGTATTTTTAATAAAATAATATAAAAAGTGTCCATTAATATATTGAGTATTTGTTTTGAATAGTCCGTGTGCTAAGTAATTTATGTTAAAACTAAAAATACTTTTCCTCATCTCAAATTTCCTTCGTGTAATCCCTAAAACTTCCTAAATGCATTTCAAACGTTTTTTTTCAGTAAAACTTTATAGTTTATTTTCTCTATCTTATCTCAAAAGGGAATTGGTCAATTTGACCGACCTCATAACCACGAAAAAATTTAAATAAGCCTAAATTACCCTTTCTTTTTCTTTCTAGAATAACTTCAAATTGTAACATGAAACTACATTCGTTTATCCCAAGTAGCTATAAGTTTGTAACAGTATACATTTATTTATAGTTAAATTTTATTGTTTCATTGCCCCTTGAACCATCTCTAACTACTATCCGTGCCATGATGAGTTGAAAATCACTCAGAAAATATGCAGCTCAAGTTACGTCATCATATTACATTACCCACGAGCTGCTTGTGTGCATGCCTCGTGAACCATTTTATTTATATTTTACCTAATTTAGTCTTAAATAACTTAAAAAGATCCGTATTTTTAGATTTTGGTTACTTTTATAATAATAAATAAAGATTGAATATGAAACACAAGAAATAAAGTACTTACCCAATCTTCTTTTTTCTGCTGTCGGGTTTCGAAGAGAGTTAACCCTAATTTTTGTACTATACATAGTAATGCACTTAATAATTTTTATTTAATTAAATAATGCATCAAAGAATATAGACTAATAACATGCACAGAGTTGACAAATTTTTCTGGCTTTCTAACTATGCTATAAGAGCCATTACAAATTCATCCAACTTTCCCACAGGAACGAATCTTGTACTGTGAGTGAAATTGACGACATTCTGTTCAGAATACAACATTATACAATACGTCATTTTATAGATGAAAACCTCGACTTTCTATTGGTTATAGGTAATAATATTATGAAACGTAAGAGAGAACTATCAACAAATTGTGAAAGAGGATGTGGCAAGTGGGTGTGGCAGGAGGGTTCTGATTTTCTATTCGATAGCTCTGTTACCAAACAAAATTGAAGGCTATAAAAATTATGGCTTGTTTGAATAATAACGATTGTATAGAGTATTTTACGTTTAATTTCATACTTTTTCGAGGGGTGGTGGATAATACAAGGATGATGATATGCTAAGAGAAAATGTGTTATGTGGGTCACACTAGTGGAAATTCTGGAATTTTTTTTTAATATTCCCTTGTAGGATTAAGAATTTAAAACTTGTATACTTTTAAAATATGGATTATAGCTAAGATTTTATGCTATTCTAATGGTTATAACTATAAACGAAAATTTAGTTTAA